GTGGATGTGTGTCTTGCACTTCTTCATCAGAATTCTAAAATTCGGGAGGCATCTAAGGTTGCCCTGCTGTTGCCTGATATCATGAAACTGATCTGTGCTTTGGCGGCTCATCGGAAATTTGCTGCTCTGTTTGTGGACCGTGGGGGCATGCAAAAATTGCTTTGCAGTTCCAAGAATGGCTCAAACTTATTTTGGACTTTCTTCCTGCCTATTCACTATTGGTTCTTTGCAGGTACTAAATATAATAGTTATTATTGTGAAGTAAGATGCCTAATGTTTATCCTTCATACCTCTGTATATTTCTTTATATTTTTCATGCCTAATAGTTAGTATTTTTCATACTCCTTTCTCTGATATCTACATGTCTTTTTTTGAATGCGTCTCTGATGTCTATTTTGTTACTTAAGGGAATTATGGAACGGGTCTGTGCTCTTCCATCAGACGTGGTCTATCATGTGGTTGAATTGGCTCTCCAACTAGTTGACTGCTCCCAAGACCAAGCCCGGAAGAATGCAGCATTGTTTTTTGCTGCTGCATTTGTCTTTAGAGCAGTTCTTGATGCTTTTGATGCTCAGGATGGATTGCAGAAGTTACTGGGCCTTCTAAATGATGCTGCTGCTGTAAGATCAGGCGTAAATTCTGGGGCCTTGAGCCTCTCAAGTGGATCATTTCGAAATGATCGATCACCTGCAGAAGTCCTGACATCATCTGAGAAGCAGATAGCTTATCACACTTGTGTTGCTTTGCGGCAATATTTTAGAGCACATCTTCTTTTACTGGTGGATTCCATTCGCCCAAACAAAAGCAATCGTAGTGCTGCTAGGAATATTCCAAGTGCAAGAGCAGCATACAAGCCACTGGACATTAGTAATGAGGCAATTGATGCAGTATTCCTGCAACTACAGAAAGATCGGAAGCTAGGTCCTGCATTTGTTAGAACACGTTGGCCTGCGGTTGAGAAGTTCTTGGCATATAATGGGCATGCTACGATGCTGGAGTTGTGTCAGGTATGACATTTAATTTTACACTTCTGCTGTTTTCAATTTGGTTAGTATTTACTTTGGTCATTTGTAGGCTCCACCTGTGGAACGATATTTGCATGATTTGCTTCAATATGCATTGGGTGTCCTGCACATCGTTACACTGGTACCCAGCAGTCGCAAGATGATTGTGAACACAACATTAAGCAATAATCGTGTTGGCATAGCAGTCATTTTGGATGCAGCAAACATTGCTACTAGTCATGTGGACCCTGAGGTAAAAGATTATATGCTATCAGTTATAGTCTTTACTCCCAATTCTTTGGGGGGTGGAAAAGTTAAATCTTTCAACTGTGGACATGGCAATTATGCCTATATATTGTGTCTCAGATTAACTATTTATGTTTACATTTCAGATTATTCAGCCTGCATTGAGTGTGTTAGTTAATCTTGTTTGTCCTCCACCATCAATCAGCAATAAGCCACCTCTAATTGCACAAGGTCAGCAGTCAGCTTCTACCCAGACCACAAGTGGTCCTCCTACGGAGACAAGAGACAGAAACAATGAGCGTAACATCTCAGACAGAGCTGTTCATATTTCTAACCAGACTGATCAAAGGGAGCAGAATGGAGAATCTGGTGTTATGGATCGAGTTAGTGCTGCCACAGCTACTACACAGATTGCTAACACCACCCCACAAACTCCTGGTGCCACTGCAACTTCAGGATTGGTTGGCGACCGTAGAATATCTCTGGGTGCTGGAGCAGGCTGTGCTGGTCTGGCTGCCCAACTGGAACAAGGATATCGTCAAGCCAGAGAGGCTGTCCGCTCTAATAATGGAATTAAAGTCCTGCTGCATCTCCTCCAACCACGTATATATTCACCTCCTGCTGCTTTAGACTGCCTCCGTGCTCTAGCATGTCGAGTCCTACTTGGTTTAGCCAGAGATGATACTATTGCACACATATTGACGAAGCTTCAGGTAACTATCTTGCCCATTCTAATTGAAACATTATCACTTAAACTGTTCTCATCTCAACATGCTTTATATTATCCTGTTGACATGGGGTTAAACTTTGTGTCAAGTATAGAATTGGAGGTGACTTTGCTACAAGCTTATAGCCATTTATATTTGAAAAGAATGTCTTGGTTTTCCAAAGTTTTGTTTTATCCTTTATTCTGGCATTAATTGGTTTTGTGTTTTTAGGTAGGGAAAAAGCTATCTGAACTGATAAGAGATTCAGGCAGTCAGACACCTGGTACAGAACAGGGAAGGTGGCAAACTGAACTTTCCCAGGCTGCAATTGAGCTAATTGGGGTGAGCCATCTTGAGCCATGTTGTGCTTGTCGCTGGCTTTTCACTTATATTTATTCTTCTATTTCTTACTTCTCAGTATCTTGTCCTGTTCATTTGTTTTAGCTATGTTTGGGAGGTTTTGAGGCTATGAAATGGAAAGGCAAAGAGTGGAATGGATGGTCATGTGCAATTCCATTGTTTGAGTTCAATGAAGGGAGAGAGTTGTTTATAACACAGGATGGCTTGTAAATTATTTTCTCCAACGTTAACCCTTAGAACTAGAATGTAATGCTAGGAAGTTTTAAGCCAGAGATTATGATTGCATTTCTACCACTTGTCTGTTCCATCCCAAATCTACCCATTTTGAAGGACAAGATAATTTGGGCTTTAGATGGCAAGGAGGGCTCTGGAGTCTCTCCTTTGCACTGCCGTTCGATCCTAAGAAAACTGCTAATTCTTAAACACCTTTAGCATATATTGGCAAGTCTGTAGGTGCGCCTTTTTTCCCAATTAAATTTAAATTTTTTAAAATAAAAATTATGTGTTATCTGCTCTATATCTTTGCAGTAATCACTGATTTCAGTATAACTTTCACTGTTTGTCACATTAAAAAATGTTGGGAGAAGCGTTTTGTTTTTATAGAAATTTGATTATGATTCAGGATAGCTGAAAATATTTGGAGAAACACTCCGGGGGTGACTTTCAGTTCATGTCAGGCCCATGCTTTCTTTGTCATTTTAGTAAAACTAGATTGGGGGCTCATACTTCGCATGAAATTTGAGTGAGCCACATTATTCATGACTTATGAATAATGTGACTCCCTATAGATTTTACATTAGATATTGATATACAGATATTGAATTGTCCTGATTTATCATGAACCTGTGCTGAAATGTTGAAAACCTAGGTTGACCTGCCTTGGAAACATGCATAAACCTGCAGTTGATGTTGTACTTTTATCTTTTCACGCTTTGGGAGATTTCTGTATGCTTCTGAAAAAAAAAAAAAATTGAGATTAAGGAAATTGAAGAAAATCCAGTTGAGGTTTTTAGCATTGAGTTGAGATCTATTTTGCTGGCATTTGAAAAGTGAGAATGTTAGGTGTTGACCATGTTGATCAATATTCAGAGCCCCGCTGCATAAGGGATGCTATTGATTTTTAACTCTTTTTTTTTTTTTTGGGAGTAGATTGTGACCAACTCAGGTCGTGCTAGTACGTTAGCAGCTACTGATGCAGCTACTCCTACATTAAGGCGTATTGAAAGAGCAGCAATAGCTGCTGCCACTCCTATTACTTACCATTCTAGGTATTTGGTCGCTTTTCATTGATTTTGAATCATTCTTCTTTTTGTTTTTTTGGTCATCAAATTTTCCTATAGTTGTGCAGTTCCCTCTTCCTCTGTTCTGACGTTTTTTTTGTATTCTGCTTTTCCTTGGAAATTTAGGGAACTTTTGCTCCTAATTCATGAGCACCTGCAAGCATCTGGGTTGTCCCTAACTGCCTCTACATTGCTTAAAGAGGCTCAGTTGAATCCTTTGCCATCGTTGGTTGCTCCGTCATCTCTTGCACAAGCAGCCACCTCACAGGAAGCTACTTCAATACAACTTAGTTGGCCCTCTGGCCGGACTCAGTCTGGATTTCTCACTAGCAAATTAAAGCATAATGCAAAGGATGAGGATTCCAGCATGAAGCAAGATTCAGCCATCTCTTCTAAGAAAAAGACACTGACTTTCTCATCTTCTTTTGGCCTACATTCAAGACATCAATCTGTTGATTCTCAGCAGTCACTAGTAAGAAGAGGATTGACTACTGGGAAGGAGCTTTCTGAATCTTCAAGTTCATTAGAAACTCCCTCAGAACCTTCAATGAAACATAACATTGATGGAGAGTCTCAGTATAAGACCCCGATAATCTTGCCTATGAAACGCAAGTTACCTGATTTGAAGGATATAGGAGTATTGTCATCATCTGGAAAGCGACTAAATGCTGGGGATCAAGGACTTCGATCACCTATTTGTCCAACTCCAAGTACGACCCGTAAAAGCAGCCTGCAGAATGATGCTGTTGGGTTTTTTACTCCAAGTTCCACCCTGAGAAGCCAACAAGGGCGATGCATAGGTGAGTATGTGGATGAAGGCCAATTAAACAGCTCAAATCCTGGTCAAGTAACACCATCCTCCCAAATATCAAGTGACCAGCCTAACAATCAAGAGCGTTTAACATTAGACTCTCTAGTAGTTCAGTATTTGAAACATCAGCATCGCCAATGCCCAGCTCCTATTACCACTCTTCCTCCACTATCTCTTTTGCATCCACATGTCTGTCCTGAACCAAAGCGAAGCCTTGATGCCCCATCTAATGTGACTGCTCGGCTTGCTACGCGTGAATTGAAGCATACGTATGGAGGAGTGCATGGGAATCGTAGGGACCGACAATTTGTTTATAGCAGGTTTAGGCCATGGCGTACATGTCGGGATGATGCTGGTGCATTATTGACATGCATTACTTTTATTGGGGACTCATCACGGATTGCTGTTGGGAGCCACAATGGTGAGCTCAAAATATTTGACTCCAACAATAATAATGTGGTGGAGACCTTTACATCTCATCAGTCTCCTTTGACACTTGTCCAATCTTTTGTTTCGGGAGAGACTCAACTATTGCTTTCTTCAAGCTCCCAAGATGTGAGGCTGTGGGATGCATCAGCAATAGCAATGGATCCTACCCATTCATTTGATGGGTGCAAAGCTGCCAGGTTTAGCAATAGTGGCAATGTTTTTGCTGCCTTGTCATCAGAGTCTGCTCGACGGGAAATCCTCTTGTATGATATTCAAACTGCTCAATTAGAGTCAAAGCTATCAGATACATTCGCAAATTCAACAGGAAGGGGTCATGTCTATTCCATGATACATTTTAGTCCTTCTGACTCAATGCTGCTTTGGAATGGTGTCTTATGGGATCGGCGGGCCCCTGGGCCTGTTCATCGCTTTGATCAGTTCACAGACTATGGGGGCGGGGGCTTCCATCCTGCTGGAAATGAGGTATGCTGAATTGATTATCTATCTTACAATAGATTGTAGGAAGGGCAGATAAAATTGATTCTTAGTGTAGAATTTTTGGAGGCTAAACTGGATGAGGAATATAGAAATAGTAGTGTGTTCTTGCCCTTTCTCTTTCATTCAAAGGGTGCTTACCTGATACAACTAATGCTAGGTTGTTTTTGTTGTTTGTGTCTAAGGTATCTAGTGATCTTAATATTTGTTAAATTATAACATCAGATTTGTATTTGTTTTTATCTGCATGGTGGTAATCTAACCATCTTTCCAATGCTTGTCAAAAATTGTTTTAACCAGGTTATTATAAACTCAGAAGTCTGGGATTTGCGTAAATTCAGATTGCTACGAAGTGTGCCTTCTTTAGATCAAACAGCAATAACATTCAATGGACGTGGTGATGTAATTTATGCAATCCTAAGGCGAAATATTGAGGATGTAATGTCAGCAGTCCATACGCGTCGGGTCAAACATAATCTTTTTTCAGCTTTCCGCACTGTGGATGCGGTCAATTATTCTGATATTGCTACCATTCAAGTGGATCGCTGCGTGCTTGATTTTGCAACTGAGCCAACTGATTCATTTGTTGGGTTGATTACAATGGATGATCAAGATGAGATGTTTGCATCTGCCAGGATCTATGAAATTGGCAGGAGGAGACCTACTGACGATGATTCTGATCCTGATGATGCTGAAAGTGAGGAGGAAGACGATGATGACGACGATGATGACGATGCAAATGTGGATCCTTTACTTGGCCCTGGACTTGGTGGGGAAAGTGAGAGTGATGCTGATGACTTGAGCAACGATGAAGATGATGATAGTATAACAGATCTTGACAATGACGACGATGATGGGGATTTCATTATGGATGATTTAGACTTTGATGGAGGAACTGGAATTTTGGAGATTGTGACAGAAGGCGATGAGGATGATGATGATGATAGTCAAGTACTTGAATCCTTAAGTAGCGGTGAAGAGGATTTTGTTGGTAATGGCTTTGGTTATTAGCAGTGTTCTAAGTGGAAAGATTTGTTCTGGTGGGCTTGGGAGGCTGTAATGTTTATTTCCCTCTAATTAAATTCATTTTAGGGCGATAGAATTTTCATTTTTCCTCCCCTCAATTTTGATGTGTTATCCTATGATTTACGCCTGGGCTTAAAAACATTAGTGTACATCACAAGAGGCAGCAATTGTGTATAGCGCTTTGAAACTACACTTTTCTTGATCTAGGAAATGGCAGTCTTGCAATTTCTGGAACCTGGTTGCACATATGCGTATTGAAATTGTGGAAGAGCTCATTTTTTGTGCGTGCATGTTCATTCAAAATACGCTTGTAACAAAGTTAAATTAGTTCATTATAAAAAAAAAACTATTTTCACTCTAATTATAAGATTTTGTTTGTAGATTGTAAGTAAAGTTTTAAAATTAGGATCAGAAGTAATACTTTTTTATCGAATGGTATGATTATTTTTTGTAATATTTTTTTTTCTCCTACTTGATTATGGTTGATGGAATTTTAACAGAGTAATCTAAAAAAATTAATATGATAAATAGGTTTTATATTTAAGAACGAAATCAATTTAACAGAGTCTACTTATGAAAAATGAGTCTTCATTAAATTTTAATGATGACTTGTAGAGAAGTTCAAAAATTGTATTCTTAGTGTAAGATCTATTACATATTATATTCACCTTCCACAAGGCACAACATTACGTCGACGAAAGTGTGTCGGTACAGTTTTGTGTTTTGATTGGCGCGAACTGTACGGTTTTTTGAATACCTCCCTTGGTTCTATATAAAAGGTATTTTTTATTTTAATTATAAGTTGCTCTTCTTATTTTATTTATAATGCATTTTTAAAATATTTTACACATAAAAAAAATTTGCAAACTGTATTAAGTTTCCATTAAAACATAAGAACTTTCTAACTACCCTTATTTATTATATGTACCTTTAAAAGAAAACAAATATCTACACTATAATAAATGAAATACAAAATAATATATTTATGTTAAACATTTAATAAAATAACCTGTAAATAGGTCAAAAAAATCACCCCTCCTTATAAATAGGACTAGAGGAGTATATAGTTTGAGAGCATTAATTATTTTTGAATTAAGGTGCAAATTTTTGTGCAAATTTAGCCCAAAATTTATAGTTAACGTTATTATTTTAATGATTAACATTAAGTTTTTTAACAGTATGAGGCATATTAGTATGATTTTAAAATTTTGGAATAAATTTACATCTAAAAATTTTTTTGGATATCCAGCGCTTTTAGGTGAAAACTTCCGCTTGAACCGATTATTTTTTCTGTATATGTTTTTATTACTGTAATATTAAAGTCCAGTGTAATTAATAAAAATGATATTGAAACTTAGTCGAGCTTTATGACAATTTTAATATTTTGACTTTTAATTCTCTTTTTCCAGGTGTATTCAGATGGTTAAAAATGAGTTATATTTAAAATAAGAGAAAGCATACAATGAAATTGAAAAATTGTATACTAAAATCGAAAAGAAGTTGAATATGATTCAACACAATAACGATGTAAAAGAAGAGAGCCCAGCATGTGCTGCTCATGTACTGAGACTTCCATTGCCGTGCAAGACTTGAACTGGACCCAAAGACACAGTGCCAGCTACTGCTCCCGTTTGAAAATGGTGCTTGTCAGTTGAGATAGTCCCAAACACGGTCAATTTATGCATAACTGCTTGCGACCCGCGATTGCAATCGTTCCTTTTTCATATTTAAAGGCTCATGAAGAGCTTTTTTTTTTTTTGGGGAATAAAGGTGCAAACAAATATGCGGGGACCAGCCAGCTCAAAGGAAATTTATCTAAAGGAATATGTATGATGAGAGCTTCAACGTGCATTTGATGAGCTTGGCGGGTCAAATAATCAGTGAGTTAAATCGCTGTTGACAAGTTGCAATTTCAGAGTTCACCAGAAAATGCTGGCCATGCTCGCTTCCCAATGGCATTGAACGATCAGGCCCCAATCCTAACACTGACGCAAACCACACAGAACGCGTGAATGGGGGACGAAGGAATATAGGGTCCATCTCTTTCGATGTGGCTTCACAGAAAGAACAAGCTTCCCTTCATCTACGAAGATGATACAAGATACGCCAGTGAGTATTCCGTTGCATTGGATCGGGGATTGCCTGGCTTGCCCCTAATCCTCCCCAAGTACTCTGTAATCTACAATCGTCCGGAACAATGTACAAATTAAGTACGGAGGGTCCGTGCATAATATAAGCCCCACATTTTAACACTTAGTTATATAAAACATTAGAGTCGTTTTTCGTGCATTACAAGACAATGAAATTATTTCATTGTTCGCGCTTTGTGCATTCAAAAAGCAAAATCACGAAGAGATTAATTATTTTCTTAGTTCCCGTTTACGCCGATAATTCCCCAGGATTAAAGAAATTTAAAAGCATATGCTTGCCAAATTAAGTTTAACAAGAAATATCGATTGTCTTGCGATGTCATAAGGATCACTGCTGCGAAACCCACAGATAGTCGCCGGGATTCACGCCAAAGAAAATTGCATGTAACATAAAGAAAACTGGAATGTGTTAATGCGTCATCAAGGGGCTATCCTGAGATGGTCGCGCGGGTACAGAGATGTCTTGCGTATATTATTGAGGCCACAGAAGAGCATCACCACACGCTCCAAGCCCACTCCAAATCCACCGTGTGGGGGTGCACCATGCCTGAAAATGATCAACCATACAGATATTTAGTCTTCCATTATACAAAAAAGCAAGACGACAAGAGACGCACCGAGTACAAGAGTCTAAAACACCACCTATATTAGTCCCAATACCTAAAATAAGGAGTGGTTATAACAGATCTGAGAAAGAGTAGTAAGAAGTGGTAATGAATACCTGAAAGAATCAATGTACGTAGAAATTGTCCTGACATCAATTCCGCATGCAGCTGCACGTTTTTCCAAGAATTCTGGCACATGGATACGCTGAGCTCCTGAAATGATCTCCTCACCTAAAACAAGTTATACCACCAGAGCTCTAGTTAACTAGCAATCACCCAAAACCTTGGAAGATATGTAGATTATAGAAACTAAAATGACGTGCAAGACAGATTGTCATACCAAGGCCACATCAAATGATTCAACTTACCTCGAATAAAGACATCAAATGAATTACTGTATGCCGGATTGTCATGGCAAGGCATTGTATAAAATGGCCTCACAGCCAGTGGGCAACGGTGAAGGATGTAAAACTCCGTGCCATACCTATTAAGAGAATTACAGTCCGCTAAATATCTTTGAAATGATGCCTCATCACAGAAATCAAATAAAATATCAGATAAAAAGATCAAAATAGACAGAAAAAAGAAAACAGAATTACTTCTCCAAAACCAATTGGCCAAGTTTCCTTTCAGATTCAGTATTCAAGTCACCAAGAGGGTCAAGGTCCACGCCAGCATCCTGCAGATTCAAATGACAGGGTGTAGTGTGTTCCTGATCACAATACATGCATACTGCATATACATTTCCTCTTTTATTTGTCACTTTATTTACTGTCATAACACGCAAGAAACTGAGCCAGTGCTAGGTACTACCTTTGGTCCTAATTATAACTTCTCATTTATAGATTACAAACGAGATCTTATAATTAAAACCGGAGATAGTAACTAAATATTGCTCCATGTACAAGATACACATATCAAACTGCCAATCAGCTGACGACATAAATACATCTGAGTTAGCAAGGTGAGGAGAATCTCACAATTGCGATCCTGCTTATGATGTTCTCTGAGCAAATATGATCTCTAAGCATCAGCCTTGATTATGTACAGATGTGGTACAAGAGTGCACGTGATTGATTTAGACTTGTTACATTTAGAGGGTCAAGACAAACTGAGAATATGAATATTTAATTTAAAAGCGGTGCATCATATGCACGCGTCAGCCCCTTAAACAGGTCAGTGAGCAAAGCGATTGACTCCACTATATGAAATCCACTTCAACATCATCCTCCAGTTCCAAGTTCCAACAAATAAGAACATGTGCTATCTGGATTTTTTTTTTTTTTTAACATCTTGGGAAAAGGAGGGTTCTGCCAAATTTTTAAGGGCTGAGCTAACCACGTCTATCCCATTGCAGTTTCTATATGGTCATTAGTGTCTAAAAGAATATTTAAAGCATACCTCGAGCATCTGAACCCCTTCTTCAAATGTAAGCCGCAGAGTCTGCCGCAAGTACTGCACATTCACAAGACTCTCATCAGATCAAAGATAAGGCCAAACTATGACTGATCTAGTTATCGGTATTACACAGTAACATCTTGTGTAAACGATGTAATGAATCACTACATCACATGTTACTGTAAATTTGTTATGCATGTTGACGCATGATGCATAAATACCTTTAAAGGTTCAAACGGGTATTGCCTTCCCACAGCTTCTAGATACTTCTGGTAGTTATTGTTTAAACTATCAAACATGGCCACAAATAGCCTATCAACTATATCCGTAACCTGCCCAATAAATGGTACATTAGACTATACATATCAAACAATTTCATAAGTAAATGCTTATCATATTACTTCCCGCCAAACCTACCTCAAAATAATGCCTCTTAATCTCCATTTCAACATCAAGACTGGTGAACTCACACAGATGTCTATGAGTGAAGGAATCTTCTGCTCTAAAAACAGGACCAATCTCAAAAACACGGCCAAAATCGCCACAAATTGACATTTGCTTGTGCAGCTGAGGTGACTGGGCAAGGCACGCGGGTTGCCCCTTATAATCTAGTCTGAAAACGGCAGCACCTCCTTCGCTAGACCCAGCAATCAGTTTTGGCGTGTGAATTTCAACAAAGCCCTCAGATGATAAGAATTGCCTGAATACCGGAAGAGGCATTCATTTACAAGAAATTTAAATCAGTTAGCATAGCATAATGTCCATGAAAATGTTTTGAACAAGTAGATTAGTCTGTTTCTCTTGACATAAACAATAAAGAAAAGCATTCTAAAAAAATGAAAACTGAGATTATATAGAGAATAAATTAAATATACAAAGGAAAACTTCATAATAACACTCGATGATGATATGCTTTACATTTACAACTTGAGATTGAATGCGGAAAATTCCTTGATTGGCCGGTGTCCGAACGTCAAGAACCCTATAGTTTAGACGTGTATCCTGGTTGACACGAACAAGTTGTTCACCGGCCTGCACCCGTCAAATGATCTACTCAGTATATATGAAAAGGGGAAAATATTAACGCAGTCAATGTGGGGCCAAAAGAAGTTGAAATGATAGCTAACAGAATCTGACAAGAATGGTGGCCGTACAATAGACAGGTTTCACATTAAGCAAATCACAAGCATAAGCAGATCTCCGAACAGTCTACCTGAAGAGCTTTCTCGATTTCAATTTCACTTCGAGCAGCATCCTCAATATTAATAGGCAAAGTTGGGACAGCCCTGTTAACGCAATATAATTTCCTCACTTGAATTTCCACCTGAAAGAGCAATAGAAGCGTCCCATCATTGCAAACGGTAACCTTAGCAAGATGCTCAATTATATGAAAAATATCTTTTTGAGGTTAGCCGATATACACCTAAGATAAATACATAAAAGGCATTATTACGAAACATATCCATCTCCAGTCGATAAATAAGTACTCTTGTCAAGATAAATTTATCACCCAACAATGAATAATTTTAACCTGCTGTGAAGCGCCTTTGATGGCAGCCCCGGGCACGGAGACGACCCCTTCGACGTCGACAATAGATTCCCGGCTCAACGCCGTAGTATACTTCACCATCTGAGAGCTTACTTGATCGGGCTGGACCTGCACCACACATTGCACAGTGAACCCGTTCTCTCTGATAACCAAAAACGCCATTTTCTTCCCCACGGCACGGATCGCCTGCGCTCTGCCCCGAATCAGAACCCACTTGTTCTCCAATGAATTGTTAAGATCTTCGACTTTAGTCCAATCGGAGATGTTGACCGCCGTCTTAGACTGGAGCTCCAAAAGTGGGACGTCGCCATAGTTGGCAGCGAGAGGGTCTTCCTCAGAATCGATGGAAAGAGAAGACGTGGCGGCGGCTAAGGCCGCTTCTTGGCGGCGGCGCAGCTTCTCCTGCTTAGCTGCTTCCTTTTTAGCAGCTTTTTTGCTTAGCGACTGGGATTCTTCATCACCGTGGTCTGGTTGCTCCGATTGCGGTGGTACAGGAGGCTCCTTAGATTCTGAATACATTTTCTTTTTCCTACACAGAATGATACAGGGGTAGACAAGGATGAGAGGGGAAAGGCTCTGCCCCCGGGCTTTAAGACGGAAGACGGGGAGGGTTGCTTGCTTGGGTTGATTGGATTGCTCAATCCATGAGATTCAAGCTGTCGAACCCAAACAATGGGCGCTCTTGAAGTTTATCTATTAAATTCGTTTATTTAAGTACTGTAATAAATATTATATATATGGATGTCCATAACCCCCAACTCTTAAGATTCTTTATAGGATTCTTGATCTTTGAATGTCTTAAATCCATAACCCCTCAATAAATGACTTTAGAGGAGTTTTTCATGTTTATTGTCATTATTCCCTTGTTTTTCTTTGTAACTCTTGGATTAGATTTTTATGGTTGGGGCCTATAAATAGAGGCCACATACAAGGTATTTGTACTCATATATGTATATGAGAAATACTCCTTGTTTTCTCTCCCAAATCTTGTCTTGCTATCCTCTTTCTACTCTCTAATTCCCTTATTTTTATAACACGTTATCAGCAAGAGTTTGCTCTGAAGATTTGAGGTGTGAGTCTTTTACAAATTAATATATTCTTGTAGTATATGATAATACTTTCTACTAACTTTTCCTTACCCAATTATTCTTTTTATCTTATTATCATGTCTAATTTTAATTTTTTTTTATATATTTGCTATATATTATGTTGTTTTTTATGTTATTTATTAATTTATTCTTTTTATATATTTTAATTCTGTTATCTCCCATTGTGATATTATGTTATTTATTATATTTATTTTCCAATACTTCTTGTTACATTGTTTGTTTACATATATTAGTTTGGTTTATATTATGTGATTTTATATCTAACACAATATTATATATATATGATTATATAATATTATATATATTTGGGTTTATTTGTTATTTATATTTGATTATGAATTTGAATTTATTTAATTTATTTCATTAGAATATTATTTAATTTCATTTTATTGAATGGCTAAAAGCCATATGTAATTAGATGACCAGAAGTCATATCACTTTTGCAATTATTCTTTTGTGAAAGAACACTATGGATGCTTTTAAATGGGATGACAAGAAAAATCTATGGTACTTTGATGATCTAATAGTGACAAACATCAAAGCCCTGAAGGCTAATGATTCAAACATGAATTGGCATAAAACAATTTTATTTGAAATATTAAACCATAATTGAGAAGGTGGTGATACTTCTATAGTTAAAAACAATTATGGGCAAATATTACAATATGACCAGAAGTCATATGGACAAGTATATCCATTGAAGGTAAATGTTAAAATTGGTTATGAAACCAAAAGATCAAGAGATATTATGAAAAGTATGAAACGTAGTTATGATGCCTAAAGTAATATCTTGTGAAGAAATATACTCAAATTAGTCAAAGTTGAAAAATATAATTATAAGCCTAGAAGGCTATATGACATTATTTTAAATTTTTTTTGTGATTGATTGGTAGAAACATATTATTATAAGTATTTAATATTAAGATATTGATAAATATTCCAAGAGTGGTATGAAACAAAATATACCAAAAAGTAATTATTGGTCACTTTGAAATATTTATTGATTGTGCCAAGTTATTTGCATATTTAAGAATATGAAATATGAATATAATTTATTTTCATATCAATAGAATAGCAAAAAAAAAAAGGTCATATTATGATATTGATATTTTATTGTACTATTTATGTACAAATTAAAGAGATGATATATTATTAATATTTTGTTTATTTATATGCTTTTTGTATGATCTTGGTTTGAATGATTTATTGTGGTTTATTGACAATAAATTTTAGTATAAGCATTTGAAGTTGTTTTGAGTTTAACTAAATAAGAAATTAATTGAGAAAGAAAAATTAAGCATTCATATAGTATGTAAGTATTTTTTTCCAAATGACATATTTTGAGTGTTGCAAATTAAATAAATGATATATGGTATCTTGATTATTGTTGAAAAATTCTGAACAATACATTTAATTTTACATTTTGTTCTCAAAAATTTTATTTTAAAAGATCATTTACGTTTTATATTCCTTTCAACTATGTGAGTTTGCTTATGAGAAAAAAATTAAGCATGTGCAAATGATAATTATAATTTTGTGAATGTTAGACTAGTTCAAATACCATTTAATCTTTAAAGTTTTGAATATTTTGAAATAACATAATAAAAAATTAGATATTTATATTCCTCTATTCTAATGTTAAGAGGTATGGTAATCCTCAATTTTTTTTTTTGAAATGATGTATCATTGGTCTTATATACTATGAAATTTGAAGAAAAATAAAAATGATATATGTCACATTTGAATTGAGAGAATAGAAAGTTATTTAATTTTATAAAAAAATTATTATAAATAGTTAATATTAATCTTGATTGGTTAGGCAAAATCATTTTTTTATAGCATGTGTAAACTCTATGTACATTGCAAATTAAATTTATGATATTTATAACTATTCATTATTATGTATTACGATGTTATTAAGACAAATTTGTCTCCTCAATCTCTTCAAATTACATAGTTCCTAAAGAACTATGTGTAAAAATATTAATATAGTTCCTGAAGAACTAATGCAAATTTTTTTTTGGGCAGACAAAGAATTGATAGTGAAAAATATGACCCATTGATCTACATCAGAACTTTGATTCTATAAAAGATCTAAAATGCAATAGCCCAATTGAATTACTACAAGTGTGAGTTGATGTTAGATAGAGTTTTACTTATATAAGAAACTTATTACAGTAAACTAGAAGTTTACTTGTCTAATTAGATTTATAGTTGGTATGCCTTGTTTGATCATCATGAATCATATATATGATGTAACAAATCATTAATGATTATTATTGACATCCATTGAAGAACCAGAACATTCTACATGAATAGACAACATATTATATGATTCAAGAGTTCATATAGTTCTTGTTCTCAAAGAAAAATTGATTATGTCGATATCACTAGTTATGATGTGGAATATATCTCTACATTTCTGGAAATATATGAAATTCAGATATATGGGCCCATACTGATAGCATGTAAACCATACAAGTATTCAATAAATTTGATAGATACATTTATAAGATGGTTACATGTGCTATTATTAGGTTGCAACTTGAAGTTTACAAGACTAATTGAGTAGATCATTTTATATGTTGAGTGCACATTTCCAGAAAAATATGATCCAGAAAATTTCTATAGCAAACACCAATGAATTTATATCTTAGCTTTTGAATGATTATCCAATATTTATTAGAAAATTGCTGAAAAGCCTACTCAATAGAATGATCTAGTAGAATAATTTATTAAAGCCTTTAGAAGTAGCTAGATCAATACTTTTGCGAACAAGATCTTCATTTCAGTGTTGGCATATTTGATTTGACATTTTATAGCATTTATACATATCAAGCTAACAAATTCTCACAATAAAAATTGGCTTTTGGTCAGGAGCTAAATATTTCCATCTTAAAAGTTTAAATGTGCAATATTTATTACTATCAGCCCACCACAATGCACATAGATGGATATTTAAAAAAAATTTGGGATATATGTTGAGAAAGAATCTCCTTCTTGTCTTTAAATGAAATGAAAGGATGTTTCTAAACGAAACAAATGAATTTAGGAGACTTATATTGTATGATTAATTTATTGTTATTTGACAAAGGTTTTTCAACATAAACAAAATTTTCCCAACATGAGGGGGAGAAATTGAGTAGCTGGAAATGATAACATATAGAATGCATTATTATTATCTATACTTAATCAATTTTACTGATTGGTGTACCTGTTGTATTTGCTTCTCCTGATGGTTGGTCGAGTAACAAAGACCGCGAATTACAAATGTCTGGAAAAGCTCTATTGCTATTTCACGGGGCAATCCACATCGATGTAATGAAAGTGAGGGACCTACGACAACGGAATGGTATACAAAGTCAACAGATCTCAATGAATAAAAAATAGGATTTATGGCTACACAAACTGTTGAGGGTAGTTCTAGTTTTCCCAACATGAGGGGGAGAAATTAAGTAGCTAGAAATGATAACATATAGAATGCATTATTATTATCAAGTATAGATCCTCAGATATATGATAGTATGAACCAGAAGTTCATCAAAGAATGCATTCATGAGATATTACAAAATATGTGCCAGATGCTATTACTAACCTAAGTGAGCATTACTAAATCTCATATTCCAGCTGAAAATGCTCCAATTAGTATAAATAAAAGTGAGACATGCCTGAAGCATAAGAGATTAATCGGTTCCAATATAATTATATCGGATAAAAAGGAGCATGAAATTTAGAAGTCATATTAAGAAGGCATGCGCTCTAGAAGAGTGCCAAGATATAACTTATTGAAAAAAAAAGTCCCAGAAGAGGTTCAGGTACCTGAAAAGTAATGAAGAGATCTCAATAAGTTATGTCACAAGAGGAAAAATGGAACCGAAAAGATAAAGTTGTCGACAACATTTTTGATAATAATATCATGTGATTTTAAAGAGGATCTTATATGAAGATAGAAATTTGGTCAAAAGCAAAAGGAAAAGAAAAAAGATGTAATGGAAATATAATTATTATTTTAATATGTGAAAATTATGAACCTGCAGTCCAAACACATCAAATACAAAGTTATTATGTGACATATGAATATTTTTGTGAAAATAAAGAATTTCACAAAGGTCCAGTTATTATGATTAGGCATAATATTTTGTGGTGGATGCAATAATTTTTGCATATATTACTAGTTTGGTAGTATATGAAAAATGAAATATGAGTTTGTAAGATATCGTTTTAGCCTATACATGTGGCTTATTAAATAATGAAGTTTACATGAGAATTCTTGAGGGATTTAAAATGCCAGAAGCATTTATATAGAAGAAAATCATCCAATACTTAAAATATTATGTTGAATAAGATAATTTGAGTATACATATCTAGCTTAGAAAAATGTATTAGAAAATAAATAATTTTGTATCTTACTTGACCCGTAGATCAAGTTATTGAATGCATCAATGATTGCAAAATGATTGATTTTGTTATGATAATTTTGTTTGCAAAATATATTCAACTAAATAGATT